CTACATAATCCGGTCTTACTATTTCATTTGAATGGGGAAAGTTGAAACATCACTCTGACTTCACACATGGATGTGACAGCTGTTTGACGAGCCTATTCTCTCTGGGTTCAATTAGCCCCGGATTACACTCACTGTCTCCGCAAACCTATTGCATCGTGGTAGAAAATAGATTCAGAATTGAAGTGCAACATTAGGCCTTGCTTCTCACCTTTCGGCAGTCATTACTCTAAAATCCCAAGTGTAAGTACTTGTACTTTTGCAGTTCAAGACTTGACCAGTAACTTCAATCACTACTTATCTTATGAAAATAATCTTAGCAACAACATCATCATCATCTTCCAGCGGACTACAGAGAGGCGAACTTCATTGATCGCTGCTAAACTCGCAAGTGGAGGTCCACTTACTTGGATCAATTACTCCTCCACCAATTTTTACCAACTGAAACCCAAATTCTAGTCAAACCCCTAACCTGGAGGACCAGGGGACTGGACTTCGTCTGACCTTTACCTTTCGACTATTCAGGCATGGAATTCGTGGTACGGCAACACGTGAAAAAATAATCATATGTCACACAACTCACTCGGGGATTTCTGTTCAGCACATGATGTGCCTGTAGGACCATTAGGCCAGCAACGACTGCGTTCGTGGTTGCGATCGCAGGCACAATGTTACCAGCCAACGATTTGACCGTGAATCGTGTCAGCTCTTCGGCGCCGGGTAAATGAAAAAGGTGAGCACGAAGAATAGCAGCTCCGGTTACAAAGTCCATGGCAGAATCATCATCCTAACCAGTTTAAAACAAAATCGCAGAGACATGAATGACACAGATATCATCATTGTCAATGAGTGTTGGCATGTGCGTTTTAATATGCATATATTTAGTCACCCGCGGTCAAGACTAAACCAATTAGGGGATAAATAATCTGGTTTTGTTTTGTATTGTGTATAACTTTTGCAAGCACTGAAGCGCACTAGACTATACACGCCAACCCTCATAGAAAACGTATTCAACCGGGTAAGTTTTTACACACATAGGGAAATCTCATAGTCCAATTTCAAGACGAGGTTTACTCGTTACGCTCGCTTCGTTTGAATAAATATGCAAGGGTATGGGTGGATTTTGGTGAGCGTTTATGTGAAATGAAATTTGGTGGAATTGAGAGTGAGTGGAGGGATGGAAATGACGAGTCAGTTCTACGTGCATTGGGTGTTTAGGATCTGGGAGAATCTTCTTCGCAAAGTTGACGGAGGAAGTTGTATGATTTTCACAGATTTTCATAGATTTTCACAGGTAATTCATTCATTCAAAAGAATGGAAGAAGTGATGAAACGTTTGCAATACAATTGCCAAGCTCGGCGAACAACTGAACATCATATTATACCACCCGAGCTACAAAAACAACAATCAACATCGTTGTTTAACAAACTGTCAATGGAAGAAGTGGCTAAAAATAACTAGACCACGACGAAAGACTTTGAAATCCTGTTTCAGTAAGTCAGGAAAAATAACTGCGGTACAATAAAGTATGATGAGGAAAACACACTGGTAAACAAAGGTAGAAATAAATGACTGGGTGCGCGAAACCGTCTAAGCTTTCGAATTTTAAAGGAAAGGCGCCGCAGTTTACCAATTCAGTTGACAATGTGGGTTTACCAATGAAGATTGGTATGCATGGTTACACCAAGATATTCCACAGAGTTCACCCTAGATAAAGGATTGTTATTAATTTCTGTGGGGTCTGTCGGGTATGGAGAGAGAGCAAAACAATATAAAAACTCAAGGAGGAGAATGACTGAATTTGACCAAAATTGTCGGTGAAGGAGCTTAGATCGGAGGAAGAAGAAATGGGTTGGCACAGCACATCATCTGCATATTTCAAAATGAGTGCATGAGGAACACAAGGAATATCACGTGGAAAATATGTGGATAGCACAACTCCTTGAAGAACTCTGCAGTTGTTGACCAATGAAGCTTTCCCAAGTCTAGTGGTTTGTTGTCTACTAGTAAAATAGTTCGACAGCTNNNNTAAGATAACAATTGCTTGCGGTGTTTAAAAGATTCCAGTTTTTGTAACTTTGATCGATGAATGGAATCAAATGCTGAAAAATAGTCAAGAAAAACATACCAAACAAACTTAACAGACTTTTGTTCAAAGACAGTGAAGAAATGAATAAGGGTGGGGACTGCCTCCATGGTGGATCTATTAGGCTTGTAAGCAAACTGGAAAGAATCATTGCAAAGCTTTATAGACTGCTGAAGGCGTTTGAGGATAGTCTTTCCAGTCGACTTAAGAGTTGAAGATGTTACGCTATGGGACGAAAACGTTGGAATCCTCTGGAGATTGGTATGACTGTGACCGGTCTCTAACAGTCGGAGATAGTAGATGTGTAAAGAGATTCATTTACAATGAAGGTGATTACGTCAGGTAGGGAAGCAGCACCAAATTTGCACAGGGCTGGAAGTAAATCACTCGGGCCTGCAGCAGAGGACGAATTGCAACTATTTAAAAGTTTTAACACCACCATTTGAGAATGGTTCTACACTATAAACATTGTGGGACGAGTAGGAGGGAAGAATGTCTGACGACTGGCGCAGCAATACGGCACTGAGGTCACCAACATCCACATTTAACTTCGATTATACTTTCCTCCTTCCACGGAGAAGTTTTCTACCTTGCCAAAGGTGTTCGCTGTTTCCAGTCCTCAGAAGTTGATCGGAGAACAATGCGTTTAATTTCTTTACTTCAACTTTGATCAGCCTGCACAAATACCAGACAGTTGAAGCATTGTGCGACTTGTATGAACGTTTTTTTCTGTCGTCGCAGCGACGGAAGGGGAGATTATGCTTCCGTTGGGCACATAGACTTTGAACAGGGCAGCAGCCATTTGGGTAAATAAGGGGGGGGGACACGTGAATAGAGAAAATAATAAAAACGATAAAGCCTGTGTGAGAGATTCATTGCGAAGAGAAACACTTGTGGGTGAGAAGTTGTGAAAACGAAATCTGATGTGGTCAAATTGAGAAGATTTATAGGGACAGTGTGAATAAAAATTAGGTCGAACTAAGAGTATACAGTGTTCACTGAAGGAAATTGGTGCTCTCAGTGTTAAAGAAAAAACAGTTGAGCCGTTGACGAATACTCTGTCCAGTATAGTTACCTCTTGTAGGAGAGTGACAAAGATCTATCACACCTAATGATAAAAGAGGATAAATATTAGTATGGTTAAAGTCGCCAACGATTATATGTACATTAACATCTAGAAGTGGGGCAAACAGGCATAAACCAGTCGAAGAATGACACGATCTGAATGTGTACAGTAAGGTGTTGCATACTAGATAATGAATGGGTAATAGGGACACGACTACATTGAGGGGTGTTTGAAAATGACACGCAAACATTTGTTATTGGTATGAGTAGCTAAATAGGGCTCAACAAATGTGTCATTATCTCACTATTGTATGAAAACAAACCTTATCCCATGTTAAGGTGTTGGCAGATCCGGAGGACAATCGTTCCTGAAGGGTGCATACACTGTCCATGAACAATCGTAACCAGCCACTAGGGGGTAGTTTGCGTTGATCGCGCAGACCGATCGAGTTCGAATCCACTGGATCGGATTGCTGATGGGGAATTGCACTGAGACCTGGAAGAAACCGGAAAAAGTAAGTGATGAAAGAAAGTGAGAGAAGCTTGACCATGTTGACATTATTTTTCCGGATCATGTAATGTAACGCTTTTTTCGAATTTTGCATTTAGGAAGCATAGAGAAAACATAAATACAATATTACTTATGTTAATATTACTTTTCGTACTTAATTCTTTTATAAAATAAACAATGATAGAGGCGAGCTATATGTATATATAACTATTACACATTATTATAATATGATATCATAAAATATAACGATAAAGTATAATATATATAAATAATATTGATATTAAAATTAGTAAAAGGTTCAAATGAAAATTAATGAATAATAGCGTCGCAACAGGTGAGCTATTAAAACCCGGTTCCAGCGATATCGCTTGGAGTCTCAAGTAATAGGCTTAGTAACAGTTTCTTTACAACCCTTAACCATGCACTTTCCTACGTCGGTCTTGGTTCCTGTCTTTTGGTCGCCCCTCTAAATGAAGTAGGAGGGAGACAGGGAGGTTGAGGTACAGTCTGAGAAAATGGAGAATTTCAGTAAACTAAGGTTGCAAAGAAATTGAGATGTAAGAACGAAGACTCCTTTCACCGTCAGGAGAAAGCAGTTTTCACAGTTCAGTTTGTACAACCATTAACCAAGTATATTCGTGCGCCGGTTTTGGTTGCTGCCTTTTAGCTGCCCAGTTGAATGAAGAATAGGAGAAGAAAGGAAAGTTGAAAGTGGGGTCGAAAAGAAAATGGAGGAGTTTAGTGGTCTAAAGTTGCAAGGAGATTGAAAAGATGAAAGAACGCCACTCGTTGCGACACCCAGCCATATCACTCAGGGTCTTTAACCATCGGTTACGATCATCCCGAGGTCCCCAGCCAGGGAGCCTAACAGGACCTATTTGATCGAGTCTCCTGGTCAGAGCTTTCATACCCTCGTACCAGGTCTTAGCTTGAACAACATTGGCTTTTTTTCATTCGGTGTCTGCTTCGGCGAACATCGCTCGCCGTGGAAACCTATCTTATGACATGCGTAACACTTGTCATAACCAACGTAAATTATGGAGGTTGACCAAATGCCCCAGTGGGCGACCGCGGATACCCAAAACTCTGCACCCAACCTCAGCATTACTCGTCCGGCTACCCCACCAGATTCGTGCAAATCCGACCTAAACAGCGGTGTTCGAACACTGACGATCTATTTTTATCCTGTTCCCGTAATAACCATGTCTCTGCACCGTAAAGCAGCACTGCCCGAACCGCTACAGCATACACTCGATCCCTCACAAACATCCGGATGTCGCGAAGTCACCACAAATGTCTCAAGTTGGCAAATGCAAACCGAGCCTTTTGTATACGCGCCGACACTTCATCTGTGATGTATCCGCCAGGCGGGATATAGCTGCCCAGATAACAAACTTCGTCTACCTCCTCTACTACTTCCCTAGTCAGGGTGAGACTGGGTGCTGGACAAACCCAGTCTTGTAGTAAAATTTTACACTTTGAAGGTGCAAAACGCATACCGAACATGCCTACAATAGCACTCAAACCATTCAGAAAAGCTTGTAACTTACCTGGATCTTCACTTAGTAGCACAACGTCGTCTGCAAACTCCAAATCAGTCTGCCATCAGGAAGTAACTTGACACCACTATGCTCGCACGAGGATAGGACTGTTTCCATAATCAAATCTATAACAAAGTTAAATAGAAATGGAGACAGGGCAACTCTGACGAACACCACTTTCCGTGGTGAACTCGGGCGAAAAAGTGCCGTAAGCCCGGAAGCGACTTCGGCCATTAGTACAAAGCGATCGAAATTAACTTATCGAGCACACCTTTCAGAAAAAGGCAGTGCCAGAGTTTACAGCGGTCGACTGAGTCGAAAGCCGCTTTCAGATCGAAGAAGGAAGATAGAAAGGAGTGTCTGTGTTCTAGCATTTGACGAAGAGTG